CCACCGTTCAAAGGCATCCATTCTAGTTCAGGCTCTTATTTGACCCAGCTTTTATTAGCACATGCTCTCATTCACTGCCACTGAGGCAATGCTGACCCATAGCAACCCTATCGCGTACGAGGCAATTCAAAGTACCATGGCTGCAGTCAGGCTCACCTTGGCCTTCAAAGTGACCTCTTTGCTTTCTCACATTGGGAGGAAGTCTTATGGCAGATTTGCTGCAGTGCAACATGATGTTTGATGTCTTGACGGCTGCTTCCACAGGCACTGATCGTGGATTCAGGCAAAATGAAATCCTTGACAACTTCCATCTTTTCTCCGTTTATTGTGGTGGTGTTTGTTGGTTTGGTTGTGAGAGCTTTTGTTTCAAGCTGAGGTGTCATCCATACCGACGACTGTAGTCTTTGACCTCCATCAGAAAGTGCTTCAAGTCCCCTTTCCTTTTAGCAACGAAGGTTGCAGTATCTGCGTATCACATAGGTTGCCCGCGAGTTTCCTCCAACCCCAATGTCACATTACTCTTCACGTAGTCCAGATTCTCCTGCTCTTTCTTCGGCATGCAGACTGTTGTTAATGCTGTCGCTAAGTGCCATCGTACCAGTTCCGACTCATAGCTTCCCTATGCACAGAGAAGGAAACCCTGCCGGGTCCTGTGCCATTCTCACCATTGCTCTTACGTTTGAGGCGTCAGTGTAGCCACCCTATCAATCCATCCATCTCATGGAGGGCCTTCCTCATTGTCGCTGCCCCTCTGCTTTACCAAACGTGATGTCCTTCTTGAGGGACTGATCTTTCCTAACAACATGTCCAAAGTACACGGAAGGAAGTCTCGATATCCTTGCCTCTGGGGAGCATAGAGATTAACCAAGGATAAGGAGAGGCTACTACCATGACACACTTTCCCCGATTTGAAATCTGGAAGTATCTTTTTTTCTTGGTCTATGTACAGGTTCTGTGTGAGCACAATGAAGTGATATGGAATTCCCGTCTGCAAAGGGATCCGTGATCTTTGAGCCACACAGTTGAATACCTTTGCACAATCAGTGGAGCATAGGCTGATGAAGGGGTGCTCCCCAAAGCAGGAATTGTGCTGGGCGGAGATAGACGTTTCATAGTACGCATTTTTCCCGGTAGGTGAGTGGTGCCGCTTGGAAAGGTTCTTCTGGACACAGTGAATTTTTTCATAAAACCCCTCACTTGCACCTTGTTTTGGGGATTGCTGACTTAAGAGAACAACATGCCATGGTGAAGTTTTGTTTCTTGCTCGGGAAAAATGCCGCAGAAACTATTGTGATGTTGAACACAGCTTACAAGGACAGCTCTATGGGAAAAACTCAAGTGTATGAGTGGTTTTCTCATGTCAAAATAGGTGAAATGTCAATTGATAACAAACATCGACTTCCCAAATGGACTGAAAACATTCTCATAGTGCATTTGGAGTTCATTCCACCAGGTCAGACTGTTAATCAAGCTTTCTATTTTCTATTTCTAATCAAGGCTCGGAAAAGATTGTGTAACATAGTGTGTGTGTGTGTGTGAGGCCCGATTTGTGGCAGACAGAGGACTGTTTTTGCCACCACGACAATGTACCTGCTCACACAGCCATCTCACCGCATCAGATTTTAGCAAAAAATAGCATGTTTCTCTGTTCCACACCACACCTTACTTACCTGATCTCCTCTGTGTGACTTCTCTTTGTTTCCTCGAATGAAGAGGGACATGAAAGGATAGCAATTTGATGAAGTAGAAAAGGTAAA